CCATATCCCGCTTTTTCGCCTGCTCGCTGCGAAGTTGTCTCGAGAGACGGTCATAGGCCGAGAAGTAAAAGAAAGCTGCCTGCAGGGGAGCCAGAAAAGCCGAGGGACCGAAGGCGAGGACTAAACCGAAAGCCTAAGGTCCTAGGGGCCTAAACCGAAAAACCCTAGGGGTTCAGGGAAGAGGGCCCAGAAAGGCGAAGTCTGAAGCTCGAAGGCAAGCGTCTCCACCTTTAGCATCCTTGGCAATAGCCACAGTCCTGAACAACTTTCAGGACCAAGCTTCTGGAGAAGCTACTCAAGAGACGAATGCGATCGCGAGCCCAGCGGGGAAGGCGTTGCAACAAAAGCTGGGCCGCAACCTCCTGAAGATAAAACTCAACCGTCTTAGTTTTGCTCCATCGCCCTCGCCATGCCACAAGAGGCAAGTCCTCAGTTTCAAGGTACAGGAACGTAGCGCCGGAGCCCCTTAAGACTCCGGGTGTTGCGCCCTTGTCAGAGAGACGATGAGGGACGCCCAAACGAGCCATAATGCAGTTCCACTGCCGACGGTAGACATGCATGGACCCGCGGAAGAGGCGCGAAGGAAGCGGAAGGTCGAAGTAAAGAGCTTCAAGAAGGAGCAGGACAAGAGGATCTTCAAGACGCGAATGCTGCCGGCGGGCGAAACGCTGAGTCTTGGGGTTGCGGATGTGGACATACGCAACAGGATCCGGAGAAAGGGCATCCACAGGGAAGACAAGGTCGGCCCGAACGAGACAGATCATCTCTGACGGATGCAACATGCAAAGGAAACCGACGAGGGTCACAGCAGCCCAGTCACACCAGCCCCAGCACAGAGCCAAACTGACTGCAGCCAGAAGAATGGGCTGAGAGATGACTGGGCGGCATTCACCAGGTTCAGCTTGCTGCCACTTGCGGTCAACCTGCCATGCCAGGGACAGGTGGGAGCGAAACTCAGGGTGGCAGTCTTGGACGCCAGTGATGGCGTAGACTAGAAGGTAACGGGGCTGGCCAGAAGAGTAAAGGTAGAGACCCCAGGCACGTAAAGCTGCAGCCGCGGCCGGTGCCGAAGACAAGACAGCGGCCAATGAAAGGCTGAAGGAGGCCTCAAGCCAAACACTGAAAGCAGAGAGGGCCTTGTCCATCTTATGGCGCGTCGACACAGCAAAACCACCTTCCATGTCCAAGTGCCCGCGAGGCTCCCCACTGTGGAAGGGGCCCGGGTTGCGTTCAACATCCCCGGCCAACAGTAAAAGCAGGCGAAGCCAACGGCCCAAGAGGCGAGGAACAGCGGCCGAAGCGCAGACAAGGTCAAAGAGTCGGAACTCACCACGGGCCAAAGTCTCAAGCCAAAGAGGACGGGGCTTCGAAGGAGGAGCCGGGGGACGACCACGAGACGGGCCATCTGCGCGGTTCCGAGCCGAGTAAACGTGAAGCCCGCCAGGGTACAAGCCTGAGCCCAGTACGTACGGGACCGAGGAACGCAAGACTCGACAAAGCGCAGGGCTTGCAGAGCGCCCCTTTGCTGCAGAACCTAAAAGAACCCGGCTATCGATTAACCCTACCAACCTGGAGTTGGGGTGCAGCTTAGAGCAAATCTTCAACCAAGTCTTGTAGGCTCTGGCTTCAAGGACGTTAATGTGGCCTAAACCCAAGAACTTACACCGAAGAACCTCTTTAAAGTCAAGGCAATCTGAAAGCTCACTGATCCACTCGGGATCGTCAAAGAACTGCCGTGGCTCAAAAGCGCAGTCAGTTGGCAAAGAGAGTAAGGAGTCTAAACCACTAAACCTTAAGGAAAGGAGGGTGGACACGAAGGCCGAGACTGGCATCGCAGAGGTAACGCCCGTGCTGGCAAGAGCACTGCCCGAGGCAATGCGGCACGCAAGAGGCAACGGGTACCGGCGGGAGAAGTCAGACACCAGCTCGCCCAAGACAGGGGGACGACCCAACACTGCAGAAACGTCCGGACGACAACGGTCGCAAAAGGCAGGAAGGCTGGCGGCCGTGAAGCGCCCAGCCGAAGCAAAGTGCGGAGCGGAAGCCAGGCACGTGCAACCACCAGAAGTCCGGCCGAGCTGGTGCAACCAAGGCTTGTTGTGCAAGAACGTGGTGGCGCACTGACAAGGCGAGCCGAACGCACAGAAGGAAACTTCGGTGGCAACGGCGCCCAACGCAACCAGACCCCTGAAGCAGTGAAGCCGGAAAAGCAGACTCTCGGCAGGGTGCGACACGCTCACAAAAGAGCCAGCGCTGGCGGCGAGGCACAGAAGAAAGCACAACCGACGAGCCAAAGTGTTGTAGCGCGAAAGCTCGTCCGACACGAACTCGAGGCCTGCAGGACTGTCGCAAGAACGAAGGCCGGCAACAGCACCGAGGCGAACGTCGGGGCAAGTGCCGCAGAACGAAGCAGGAGGCGGGTGACAGTGCCAGTCATGCACCAAGCCGCTGAGGGCAAGAGTGCACAGTGACGAAAACGTAGCACGATCCTCGAGGTCCTCAAACGACAGAGCAGAGAACTCAGGGCGCTCAACACTGAAGTCACGCAAGCCTGCACGTGTGTGCGCGGGAACCCAGTTGCAGTCACCCCCGAAGAGGCAAAGGAAGGAGCCGCCACCAGAGCGCGGCGCGCGGAAAGGCAAAGGTTCCGGAGAAAACGGAGCAGCACTGGCAGAGGGAAGGTTCTCCACGAAAGCCGCCCCAGGATCATCTGACAAGTCGAGTGATTGAAGAAGGGCAGAAGCTGGCTCCAAAAGCTTAGTGTAAAAACCTTTTTGCTCAGTGTGACGCCACAACTCGCACAGCAAATGCCCGCGCCAGTCGGAGACGCGTCCATACAAAAGACTTTGTCTGGGTAGCCAGCAAGCAAATCAGCTTGAATCAGCGGCCCCATGATACACAAGCATGCAAGCTCGTTCACAGAATCGCGATGAAGCTGAAAAACTCTGTTCGCCGGTGTACGTCTGGCGTCGGCAAACACTTGACCCAGTATTGAGAACACCGGCCTACGAAACAAAAGGATATGCACCCAAAGTCCGAGGATCGATGCCAAAAGTGCAGGTGTGCATCGGCCGTGCCGTGAGACTAAAGAAGTTATTCTCATCAATACTCCGATGCGGTGCCGCGGTGCCGAAACCAAACCTTCGCATCCATCCACATCTGCACCGAGGAAGGTGCCAGAAGTGACTTGTCGTTTACGTTTCCCCGGGTGGGGCACCAAGCCCACAAGGGGATACGCAGTATCAGCAGCGGCAAAGATTTCAGTATCACGAAGCGGCGCTTTCGAGCGCAATTGCATTCGTGAACAAACCTGAGCTGTCATGTGATCGTCGATGGATAAAAACTCCAGGCATTCAGAGCGAGGAAACGTGCGGCGGTAAGCCACGAACTCGCTAGGTCGCATACTGTTTCCCAGGCTGGCAAGAACATTGAAATGCGCTTGCTGAGCATACTCCACAGCGCCACAATCCCCCATTGCTAAAGCATTGAGGGCAATGAAGCACGGCCCTTTATGCAACTCAGGATTAAAAGCCGAAACCCTTTTAAGTTCATGAGGTTGAAAAGCGATCCCCAAGCAGTTTCGTTTAGACCTAAGGGGTGGAACCACAAAAGTATAATACATCTCGCTAAGATCATCGCAACACAACCTGAGAACATGCGAAGCAGTGGGCAAACTCGCCTGGGCCAAAAGGCAGCCTGGTGCCAAAAGTTTTGTGTAGCAGCTGAGTTTGCGGGCTCGGGAATTTGCAACAGAGGGATTAAGTATGAACCTATCAAAGGAGATATCTTTGGGAACCCCGAAGCAGCCAACGGTTTCCAAAGAATCAACCTCAGAACAATTGAAAATCCGAAGCGCCTTGAATTTGTCCCACTTTGCAGCAAGCTTGAGGAGCTCGCCGCGCGAGGCATGAACCTTGGAGCGCGGGAGTTTCGGCCAAAGGGCCTCGGGCAGTTTGACCGAATCAGGCTCAAGGTAAGCCCGCTTAATTTCGGGATCAAGCAAAAAGGGCACCGGATCAAAAGAAGGCGGCAGTGACCACTTGATGCGATCAGCGACGACCGGCTTGCACGAAAGACCCGCAACAACTGAAACAACCTCAGGATGCCCATTGCATGAAGGAGCCGTCGTCGAGGCACCCACAGCAGAAGCCTCCAGGTCCGCATTCCGCTTTTCGCGGGCTTGCTCCCAGCCGTGCGCAGCGAACATGCTCACCCAGGGCCAAGGTACGATGCTCGGCCACAGGGCTCCTCTTTTCCACAAGGTCCGCATGAGATTCGGGGGCGGCGCCTGCACATCCTCGCCGAGCTCCTCCGCAGCCAAACGCCTGATCTGCTCGGCCACGGCCACGTTGTCTTTCAAGAGGCGCACGTAGGCATCCCTCGCCGCCGAGCCCTTTGCGGAAAGACTGGCGTCGTCTTTGCCCCCGCCGGAACCCAATGCAGCCTCCAGGGGGCTCCTTGGTTTGCCCGCGGAAAGGCGAGCCAACATCTGGGTCTGGATCAAGAAGAGCCGCTCCAGCACCGAGTCGTTGGAACCTCCAGCGGGGAGCCCTTCGTCTTGGATGGCGCCCGCCTCGATCTCTGCAAGGAGGTCGTCTGCCTGCCTCGTAAGTGCCCCTCGGGGCTCCCGCTCGTGCTGAGCGATCTTTTCAGGAGGTGGGCCAGCTGCTTCTCGTAGTCGCTGCATGTCGGCATCTGTGATGGCAGCCGACCCCGAAGGAGGAAACAAATCGCGAGCACCACGTCGAGCTTGGGCAGAAGGGCCCCGAGAAGCGAAGCCACCAATACCGGCCCCGGCAGGGGGAGCAGTGTTGGCCGAGAGCTCCAAAGCATGAAGGCGAGCCCGCAGCCGAGCCAATTCCCCAGCATCCACGGCGCCCTCTTCGTCGGCTTCGCCACCCTCGTGGTCCTCCAGGGGAAGACCATCTAAATCCTCGGCCGCGGTGACATACTCCCCCAGGCCACTCTCCTGCAGGTCCGGGTCCTCCAGGGCAGTCGTAATCCAAAGCTCGGCGGCGGCCTCACCACAGTCTCGCCCGACTTTATAGTGATGAGGTCCAGCTGGCTGCCGCGAAGAGCCGCCCCCGAACGGAGGAAGGGAAGCCAACTCCAAGGCACATCCACGAAGTTGAGCGAAAGCTCCCCCACTGCACGACGTCGGGGAGTTTCGCAAGCAACCTGCACCGCTGTAAAGTACAATGGTGTGTCCGGGTGCGCGTCGTTCAAGTTGCCCAGGAGCTCGCTGACAAGGTCGTCGCCAGGAAGGGCCACCATTACCCCGCCAGCCCTGACCTTCAAAAGGAAGGCCGTGATCCGCACAGTCGGGTTGGTCGTGCTGTCGGTGAGGTAGACGACCGGCAAAGGGCGACCCGCGGGCGGGGAGGAAACCATCTGCTGCACATCCTCCCTGCGAAGGCCGCTCCCTCTCAAAGTTCCTGAGGCCATGTCGCCCCAGCGCCTTGCACGAAAGCCCGGGCCTCTGCTCTTGAGGCAAAGGCGTGGCAGACAGCAGCTCGCTCGAGCCTCCCCACCCCGTCCTTCGGGACACGGGTGGCAAAGGTTCGGTAAGACTCGGTCACAAAGCCGCCAGGTGTCGAAGAGCACCGCAGCGCCACGTAGATCCTTTTGCGGGTTGGCAGCACAGGGTTCCTCGTCTGGTAGTCCTGGGCTCCAGAAAGAACAGAAGCCGCGGAGAGGCCGGCCCGAAAAGCTCGAGCGATACGGGCTTCAGCCGTCCAATTTTCCAAAGCAGAAATCCCCCTGGCCAAACTCGAAAGTGAGCCCAAAGTCAAGCCAGCAAGGGCCTCGGCGGTAGATGCTGCCAGGAACTCTGTGTCGGCGGAACGAGCCGGAGACACCCGGGAGGTAGAAGCCTCCCCTGCAAGGGGTCCAGTAGAAGCCTGGGCGCTTTCGCTGTCCTCGTTCACAAGGATAAAAGATCCAGTCGGAGAAGGGGGCTCGGAGGGAGCCCGTTCAATAGTGATCCGAAACCTTGAAAAACGAAGTGTGAGCCTCTCCAAGTCAGGGTCCTCCCTGCTCATTCACGAACTCGGTACTCCTGCAGTCGCCGCTGAAAGTGGCCTCGAAGATCCGGGGTTCCTTGGGCCAGGTCGAGCCAGCCAATAAGAACTCGCAGAACTGCAGCCACTCCTCGTCGAACCGTGGAAGACAGAACAAAGGCTGTCACGATGACACCACAGAAGCAGCCGATACCGCAGGCCAGAAAGCCGAGGAGGACGCCCGCCCAGAGAGGAAAGGAATGGCACGAGGGATTCCAAAACCTAGCCTCTCTCACAAGCTCAGGCAGGGCAGCCCACATCGAGAGAAAAACACAGCTGAGAGCGGT